ATTCTGGAAGTGGGAAGGAATCTTAGAATTTCTTAAGTTCCCCCATCCATACTTTTCCAAATAAGGAATCTAATCCAACTAAGGTGCATGGTGTTGCTAGTTAGTGACTGTCCTCTGTGATCACATGTTAGTAGCAGGCAGGACCAGGTCTCAGATCTTTATGATTCCTGATCCAGTGCTCTTTCTAAGAGAGAACCACCTTCCAAATGTTTCAGTTCTCCAAGTGCTCTCCTGCAAACTCCCAGGGAGAACTACTCCCAGAGAGAACTACTACAAGAACACAGTAGTACTTCTAACTACTGTGGCTGCAGTTTTTCAACAAGTGTAGGAAGTATTGGTTTCTATTTCTAGTGATCAATTGACAGCTCTGTGTTTGGTTACCAGCTATGTGTTTTGCACTTCTGTCTGCAACCGGAATTACCCTGGGGGTAACATGAGCTTTCTGAGTGGGAATCAACTGCAATGGAATATGTGGTTATTTTCTTTCTTTACTTTCCACAGGCAATTTATAAACCTTCAAGAGCTCATCTACTGCTGGGAGTGCTCTGTTTTCCAATGTCTCTTTGTCCTGTGATAATAGCTATTAGTGTTGCAAAGTCTTGGGTGGATATTATGCCTGTACATAACAGAAGGTGTGCCCGACTTGCTTCTCTCATTCCCTAGGTCGCAGCTTAATATAGAGGACAATCCAGGATAGGGCCCAGGACTTTTTAAACCCTATTCCAACCCTCTGTTTCAGACTGTGAGCCTGGCTGTGGCACTTCTCCATTTGTGGGATCGCTTGCGATCCCTACTATCTTTTCGGAGTCAAGCTCCTGACTACCACCATTGCCTGTTTCCAGCCTTGGAACCCATAACTTCAGCCCCCACCCCGTTATGCTACAAGTTTTAGTTCTCTATCACATCCACAGAGATACTTACCTCGTTTTAAAGTATGTATCGATATTATTTTAAGTCCTATCACTACAGACAGCCACAGCATGTCTTGGTCAGAAATCTCCAAAACATGCCTTGGGAGTATTAGGGATGGTATTCGGTGTTACTGTTATTGCATTTATTGGGCTTGCAATGACCAGTGGTGATGAACAAGTTTAGGCTCTATTCTTCTAAAAATAGTTCCAATTTGTCTAATAGGATTCTTAGAGGAAGCATCAACATTTCAAACTTTGTTTGAGCTCCCTCATGTGCCTTTTGGCCACTATTGGCTGCAAATGAGAAAAATGCCAAGATTTAAATGCTTCTAAAAGCTCCAGCATGTAGCTTGAGCCACAAAAACTACCATGTTTCTGGACTTAGTGGTGTAAATGATGAGGATTTCAAACAGAAAAAGGAAGTGTGGCAGGGTAGGGTAGGGAGGGTGAGGTTCTCATCTCCCCGGCACACACACCTTGGATAATCCCCTCCCCTCTGAGCACCAGCAGGGCAGGGTCTGAAAATGGTCGGCTTTCACTCCCAGGATTAGGTGACAGTTGTATGGCAAAGGGGGAGGGACTTTTCAGTTATAATTAAGGTCCTTAATCAGTTGAATTTGAGTTTATCAAAGGAGATCATCTCTGGTGGGCCTGAATTTATCAGGTGAACCTTTAAAAGGGACTCGGTCCTTCCTAAAGGGAGAGATTTGAAGTGTGGGCGAGATTATCCTGTTGGCTTTGAAGAAGGCCCTGAAGGCAGCCTGTAGGAGCTGAGAGTGATCCCGGCCAATCACCAGCAAGAAAATGGGGGTGTCAGCCCTACAACCTCAAGGAATTGAATTTTGCCCATAACTTGAACAACATTGAAAGATGACCCTTAATATCAAATGAGAATGCAGCTAGCTGACACAGCTGATTTCAGCCTGGTAAGTCACTCAGCAGAGAACCCAGGTGTCCCCAACCTGAGCTCCTGACCCACAGACCGAGATAATTAAGATAAATTGTTTTAAGCCTCTAAATTTATGGTAATTTGTGATACAGCAATAGAAACGAATACAAGAGGTTATACTGAACTTCATTCTGCTATGTTATGGGACAATGCACAAATGCCAAAGAATCTCAGAAGAACCGTATCTCCACCAACCGTAAGAGGGAAAGTGGCCACAGTTACTGGCACAATGATCCAGCTGGTCCACAGCATTTACCTCTCTAGGCTTTCTATTTCTTTTTAACTGTTTAATGTTTATTTATTTCTGAGAGAGACACAGAGACAGAGCAAGTGAAGGGGAGGGGCAGGGAGGGAGGAGACACAGAATCCAAAGCAGGCTCCAGGCTCTGAGCTGTCAGCACAGGGCCCGATGCGGGGCTCACCATCACAAATGGCGAGATCATGACATGAGCTGAAGTCGGACACTTAACCGACTGAGCCACCCAGGCGCCCCTAGGCTTTTCTAAATCAATTACTGCACAAAGCCGGTAAGAACCACCAGAAATTTAAAGCGGTTGCAACATTAACAAGACCCAACATTTATCATCTTCGTGGTGCCTTAGGCACAGGGAAACTTCAAGAGGAACACCAAACACAAGCACAGGCTATAGATTAACACACTGACTTCAGATCAAAGTCAAAGATGAGGGGTGCCTGGGTGGCTCAGTTGGTTAAGTCTCCAGCTTCAGCTCAGGTCATGATCTCACAGTTCGTGGGTTCAAGCTCCACTCCAGGCTCTGTTCTGACAGCTAGCCCAGAGCCTGGAGCCTGTTTCAGATTCTGTACCTCCCTCTTTCTCTGACCCTCCCCTGCTCATGCTGTCTCTCTCTCTCAGAAATAAATAAAACATTAAAAAAAATTTTTTTTTAATTCAAAGATGAGTGCCCACATGTATGGAGTGGGATCTGCCACAGGAATCACAACCTGCTTTTTAAGCAGTAAAGCCAGCATCATCTACTGGTTACATGTGAACCAGATAATGAAACGCAGAGGCCTTGGAGCATAGTCCACTGGACCACAGCAGCACTAGGCTGTATTTGTGCAAAGGTCAGATTACAACAGGACACCTGAGATGATAATGGAATAGTAAGTCTAACAGGCAAGCTGTCCGTTTGTGGATGGAAAACTTTGTAAGGATCCAATAAAGCTCAAAGTCAAATGATCAGGTGTAGCCACTGACTGACGAGAAACAATAGCAGTCCAACAGCATGGAGGGCAGAGCAGGTACAGGTAGGTGCACTTGCAAGTGTACAAAAAATACCTGAACTGCTACCCAGAGGGCAGTTGATTTCAGTGTCTCCTGTGGAAGGAACTTATATTTAAATTTTTAACGAGAAAGTAAATCCTTTGTCTGTAATAGAACCGTTTGAAGCCCCAAGTTCATTATAAGCCAGGGTAGTTGTGGACATCATTATTACAGGGCACTTTAATGTTTAATGACATAAACCATGAGGAGAGCTGTGTAATCTGACAACCACATTATTTACTGTTCCATGATGTAACAAATGTCAGAAATTTCTGGACTCCACATTTTTAGTTTTGGGGTCAGAAAGCGTGTCATTCCACTGTCAGTGGCAAGATCCATCTGAGAGCCACTAAAAGCTCAAATGTTTTCCCTAGGAAGCAAGGTGGCTGCAGGTGCCCGTCTTCACTCTCTTGAAGAGACTCTGTCCTGTTTGGAAACCCAAACAGGCTCTTCTACTTTAACGTGGTTGATTTTTCCATCTGTGTATATAGAATCCACAGCATACCTGGCCCCTTTAATTAGCAACAGAAAAAAATCTGCTCTCTGGGCTCTCCCCAAAGGCCAACATTTATTTGACCACCATCTCCTTCTTGCCAGAGCTCTCTGATATTCCAGACATGAAAAGAGAGGAATGCAGTCTGTCTATGTCTTCCAGACAGTCTAAATTCTAGCAAATTAGACAGCTGGCTCTCAAACTGTGACCATGGGCCATCGGAGTGGGGCAAAAGAACTTCAACCCTCCTAGGCCTCCTATCCAGTGAATTGGACCAATTTATGGCCCATTACAAGATCCTCACAGCCATGGACTATACCTTGAGAACACCTGACTTAGATGATCTGAAAGCCATGGTACTGTGGCTCCTCGCTCTCTACCTTTAAGATGAAATGCCTTTGCTAAATTATCTTAGACAATGTTGATGTTACATCTTCAGTTTTCATGAAGGATGTACATAAGAACTGGTGACATGAAGAATATCTGCCAAACCTGTACTGATGAAGGCACTGTCCATTATATTTTCTCTTTGTATATACAGGGCTGATGCAAGAAATGTCTTCAAAAATTTAACACCAGGAAAATAAATTTAGCTAGATAAACTAAGTTTTGGTTTATCATTCAATGAAAAATTGATAATCTACTGGCAGCCAAGAAGCTCAGAGTCAAGGTCAATGCGCAACTACAGTTATCTCTATCAGCCTTGGGATATATACTATATCCTTTGTACCTGCATATTTTATTAAAACACCTCAAATCTTTTCACAGAGTAGGTTAGTTGTATATTTTAAAACATTCCAGTGGGATGATAAGTACAAAACTTTAAGGATATATTATAAGAGCCCAAGTCTTATATTTTAAGGGGCAATATAATATAGTGGTTAAATCCATACTATAGGTTCAAATCTCAACCCAGCTACTGCTGACTTTGTTTTTTTTTTAAAGCTTTTATTTTATTTTTTTAAGTGGGTATTTATTTTTGAGAGAAAGAGACAGAGTGAAAGCAGGGGAGGGGTAAAGAGAGAGAGAGAGACTCCGAATCTGAAGCAGACTCCAGGCTCGCACAGAGGCCAGTGCAGGGGTCATACTCATGAACCGCGAGATCATGACCGGAGTCAAAGTAGGACATATAACTGACTGAGCCACCCAGGTGCCCACCAAAATACCTCTTTTATAGGGCTATTCTGAGGAAAAAATGTATCAATATACATGAAGTACTTAGTGCAAGCACTAAAAATGATTTGCTCTTATTATCTTATGGGCTAATGTTAAACTCTATCAGTACATGGTATGATCAAAATGTCAAATGCTATTATTAGGCTTCTGAACTTTGTCCATTCAAATGCAACATATCATTCTTACCTACTGTGGCAGATGCTGATGAGAGCAGAGATTTGCCCCAGGAGCCCCAGCCTGCCCATCCCCCTCCATGTGAAGGGGAATCCACAGCCTGTAGAAAAACAGATTAGCCCAAAAGTTAGCAAGTCAGTATATGCATGAATGAAAAAACACCCATTGGTTTGAAACAAAAAGAAAGTTAAAAAAAATAACCATATCTCCCTGGCTTAGAATTTAGAAGGGCCACCAACCCATATTTCAATGTGTACTTTGAACAAAATTGATTAGTAGTGGCATTGGGCTTCTGCTCGAAGTGAGTTTGATGTTAACAAAGACCCAAATATCCCATTATCTGGAAGATAGGGACAAAGGCTGTAAGGGGGAAAACATTTAATGTATTAGGGTGCAAAGTGATTTGAAAAAGTTTAAAACTCGGGCAACTTTAACATAGCTAAGCAAATGTCCTCTTCCAGGTTAGAAGACACCTCTGGGGTGATGGGAGGGAGTTCTGATGGATGACAGGCAAAGTGTCTAGAAGAGCCCTGATAAGCTGTGGGATGGGCAGCAGAACAGGTAGCCTTTCGAGGTAGACGCTGTTCAAGGTGTCCACTCCACTCACAATGACCACTGTAACTATATCTCTCACTGTCCCTGGGCTCTGTGAATTCAACCTCTTCTGCCAAAGTATTTGGATTGAGATTGAGGGACTCTGGTTCAGCCTGAGCTGGCTGCTTGACTAGAAGATGAAAAGTCAGGCAGTGTAGGGACCATATTCTATCCATCATGGTGACTACGGATTAAGAGAAATCAGAGTGAGCAGAATGAAGGAGATATGCTGAGAGAAGTTGTTGAATTCCTGACAGCTCCTCAGCCCTTGGCTCCTGTCCCTCTTCAAGGCCCTCCTGCATTGCTATCTTTGGGTTCCATGGGATTCCTGCATAGTTAGTAAGTCTGTCCGTCTGTTTCTTTTTTAAATGTTTTGTTCATTGGTATACCTCCAGAGCCTGGAAGAGTACATGGCATATAATGAGTACTCAATACATTTATTTGTTGAATAAATGACTGAAAATCATCCATTTTCTTAAGTGTGTAATAGTTTTTGTTGCTTGCAACCAATGAGCCCTGACTCAGTTAGTGGAACTACGGCTTTCCCTTATTATTTAGGAATTCATTCTAGAAAACGAGAGAAGAATACATTAGGAGTAATATATTAGGTGCTAGAGAATCACAGCTCTTTACTCAAAAAAAAAAAAAAAAAGCGAGAGAGAAAGTTCAGTGAAATATTTCTACAGATGTTGTAGAGTCTATAACTTTTGACCCAAGGCTGGCCCACCAGTCACCCTCCTCCCTTCTCCCTACTGTCTTCTACCTTTGCAGATGAGTGTGGTCATTCATGTCAAACAGTTTTGGCCAGTGAGATATAAATGGGAAAGCTTTTGCTTTCATGACAAACTACACAGTTATGGCTGACGCCAACTCTTCCCGTCATCCTTTTTTTCCTGCCCTGCATGTAAACATGATACTTGAAACTGAAGCAGCCATTTTTGCTGCCATGAGGGAAAGTTCAGGAATCACAAATTCATGGGTCATGGCACTGCTGAGCTACTAAACCAATGTGAGTAGCTGCCTGTCTTCATTCTTTTTGTTGAGCCAGAAAAATTAAGTTGCTATTTGGTAAGCCACTATATGTTGGATTTTAGTTATTTGTACCCAAATGCATTCTTAACTGATTCGTCTGGTAAATATCAAACTGTAGAATACTGGTCAGGAGAAAACGTTATGGAATTAAATGGCTTCGGTTTGACTCCAGGCTCTTCTATTTTGGGAAAGTTATTCAAGTCTTTCAGGCTATCATTTACTTATTACAAAATGAAAGGTATGGTAGTATAAGAACCATCAATATGAGAGCCAGTAACCTCACAGGATTATTGTGAATGTTAAAAGAAATAATTCATATAAAGCTTTGAGCATAGTGCCTGGCACATAATATAAACTCCATCAATGTTAACCAGTGATGATGATGATGATCATCATTTTTAACACTAAGAAGCAAAAAAGCTTTGAAAGTTGGCTGACGTTTATTTCTGTCTGGAAACAATGAGGAGCTTGTTAACATGAATGAAATACTCATGATTCATGACTGTTTGCTTTCATTTTTGAAATGTCTACATTGATTTAGTTCACTTTTGCAGTGGAAGCCAGTGGCAATTTTATACCATCATGAAGACAGATGTAAGTTGGTGATTAATATCATTCTTTTACGGGACAAATCACTACCTATATGATTAGGGAGAGTTAATACACTTAGGGGTGACAGCTTCTGACTCAAATTTATAATACTTAATATGCTCTGACAGCTGGTAATTGACTAGCAAATGAAAATAAATGTTAAATGAGCCTAGAATTTTTTGCAGTATAAATGACTGCTTCAATTGCTTTATTTAAAAAGCTCCTTTGACATTAAGCTGTGATCTCATGATCAGCTGCAAAGAATATTTGTTATCAATGGCAAATACTCAAATGACTAAATGTGCACACCTGATATAAAAACCACATAAACTAAATGTTCAACGTGAATTCTCATCTTGAGTATTGTCTCTGCTTTAAATGGCTTATGAGTCTATAAAGTAGGGGGCATGGATCTACTCAGATATTTCATTAAACAAATATGGTTATTTTAAAACTTTTTTCTCACCTTCACCCCATGTAACCCCTACTTAATTTAACAGACAGCTTTGGGGTGCCTGCATGCTCAGTTGGTTAAGTCCGACTCTTGGTTTCAGCTCAAGTCATGATCTCATGTTCATGGGCTCGAGCTCTGCATCAAGCTCCATGCTGACAGTGTGGAGCCTGCTGGATTTTCTCTGTCTCTCTCTCGCTCTCTCGCTCTCTCTCTGACATCTCCTACTCTTGTGCACTCTCTCCCTCTCTCAAAAGAAATAAATAAACTTAAAACAAACAGCTTCACATCCTAATTTGCAGAGAATACAGTGGCTACCAGATGGGAACTCTCTTAACTTCTGGCCCCTCCTCATAAACTCTCAGAAGAATGACTTCATTTCGAGAGCAAAGCCAGACTTGGCTTGATCAAGAGGGCTACCCAAAACTCAATTGGAGATCATTTACATGTCCACAGCTGTTGTACGGTCCTAAGAATATAAAGAATGCAGGATTCTATCATGTTCAAAGTTCTTTAAATAGAAAAGACATTTACATATCTTGTGTTCCATTTAAAGATCTTTATCATTAAATAGAAAATACATTTATTTTATGCTATCAAGTTTATATGTATCATTAGAAAAAATGTACAAATATTAGAATTCCATGGAATTCAAAGGCCTTTAACATTTAGATGGAAATAGAGGTGCCTGTTGTTTACAACAACCTGATTGTCATACGTCTTGAGTAAATCAAGAATTAGGTATTACACACAGCTTGCATCTGTGAGACCGAACCCTTTTTAAGTTTTGTTACCGATGACATAGCTGCTCTAAATAGGGGCTCAGTGTGACATTCAGGGAAGGTGTAAATTGCTCTGGATGCCTGCAGTTCTGTCAAAATATTTGCTTAAATATGGCCTCAGTTATTTCCAGGTAATTTTCTTCCTCAGTGAGTATGCCATCATTCAACTCTGGGAATATTCAAAATTAAAATTGAAAGGTCTAAAGCATCAAAGTCATGCTATTAATATTTTTATGTATATTTGGTCTTTTCTGCACATTGTTTAAGAAATTAGAGTGAACCTTTAAAAGACAATTTAAAATGAATAATTGAATGATTAAGACTTCCGGTTTTAAGTTGAAATCTTCCTACATTGATGCATAGAATCATGACATCTAACAGGTCTTTAGGTCCACTCCATTATTTAATAGGTTTATAGCACTTCCTATGCACTCAGCAAGATTTTGTTTGAGTAGATAAATGAGGTACTTAAAACAGAAAACAGAATATATTAAATTTATATAGACACAATTTAAAAATATTTGAACATATTTAAGTTCATAAAAACGACCAACCATTCATCAAAAGCCCCTTGAAAGTGTCAATTTTGCTAGACTTCCAAATAGAATATGATTTGTGAGATGAACACAAAGCCTAGGAAGAATTGCATTTTTGAATTTATAACTTAATACATTGACCACTAATTGCTTAAAACGAAATTAAAAGTCTGAGCAGTCCTTTTTATGCACAAAATACACACCAGCCTCACCAAATACCTATCTAAACACAAATTTGACCTAACTGCACCCCTCACTCGCAATTACCTCCTTCCCTTCTAGCATCATGGAAGTGATGTCTTCCTCTTAGTTAAAATTATCACCTCCACGTGAACTCTGCTGGGCCTGGGTAGGTTGGTCTTCCCCTCTCTCCTCTCTCCTGGCTTTTCAACCTTTCTCTACCTGCTACTTCCCACGTTGAACCATGTACATGATTCCTCCATCTTCAAACCTACAAATGAAAATCACAAGGACAGAAAGTTTTGTCTCAAACTTATCTGGTTTCTGCCCCACATCTTGCTTCTTCCCCGTTTACAAAAAGTGCCTACCTGCTGTATCTACCCCCCTTCATTACTCCATCTGCCACAGTACTCTCCCATGGCCACCACTACTTCACGAAACCATTCTCATGAATGCCACATTGGCTTTCTTGTGGCCAAAGTCATGGACTCATTGTAGTTATTTTATTTTTTGACCTTTCACTGGCATCTGAAGCTTAACTACTTATACCTTCTTAAAATACTCTTTACTCATGGCTTCCATGCCCTATCTTCTGACTCTTACTTTTTTGGTCCATCTTTAACTTTTATGATTTCAGTCTACGATAGAAAGTCACCAAATGCATATCGTATTAAGATACAATCCAAGTGCTTCCAGCATCCTAATAAAATATGCATAGTTCAGGGTGATCAGCTGGCACCCTAATCATGAAGACCATACTCCTGAGACATATATAATGAGCATTTCCATTATCTGTATTTTTATTAACACCTGATGCTTTGCTAATTAACATACTGAATTACAGAAGTGCTTTTTTTCTTTTTTTTTTTTAAAGGAAATGCTTTTATTAAAAAATTTTTTTTAATGTTTTATTTATTTTTGAGAGAGAGAGGTA